TGATGAGTGGTGTGTGATGAGTGGTGTATGATGAGTGGTGTATGATGAGTGGTGGTTGAACAGCTGTTGAATGTCCGTAACACGGAAGTTTTGCACACTAAACTTCCTTTGATAATCATATATATAATATACATACATAAACACATTTATATATATATATACATACAGGTTGGGGGTGTCCGTTTTTATTTGTAACTGTCGGTAAACAAGAACATCACTATTTTAGAGGAAGGCCTTTAATTTATTAACCATCATAGCAAGGAAAGGCAGCGAACTCAAGGGATCTCCCAGATCTTGACATGGGAAGAGTACCTCAATTCGCAGATGGTATTCCATGTTTGGCGGGTTTGATCAATTTACCTACATCATCCTACATCCAAGTTGGGCAAGGCCGACCAGTGGCATAAGACACCCAGATTCCTAACATGCAGTACAAAGTTTGCCCTAGGCCCTAGGCATTTGTCGTCTTACAGCAAGCGTTTTGAACGATGAACATGTAAACTAGCCTCCAAAACCTTTTTGGGGGGTGCCCAAATCTTATTGGGAGAATCAGATCCAAATCCTATCTGACGGGAGTTCTGACGGGCTCTTCGTATTGACATCTAAAAACGAAGGGATACTATGCATGCTGATCTCCACTTAATTGGGATTTGTATGCATTTGTTGACAGAACGTTCGGTCAGTCTGAGACAAAAATGAGACGCGTGCTGTGTCATCGGATGCTAAACTTTTACTCTTTTTTTTCTGGACCTTAATTAAGAAGGCGGCAGCGAGACAAACCTCGCCTCGGAGTCGATCGTCGAATCAGTTCTCGACTGGGAAGGACGAATTCGTCCGAATTCGGCGGCAGGCGAGTTGCTGTGTGAAGGTTCGCTTTTGCAAATGCGACGCGCATCCGGCAGAGCACGTCGGCTGCAACTTAGGCGCGGGTCGGGGTCTACCACGTGGACCGGGTCTCGAAATGTCGGGTGGCACTGGAGGGTGATCCTGTGGAGCCTCAAACACAGTTTTGAGTATTACCACTTCCAGAATGTGATGCAGGTCAGACAAATCCAGCACAGACCTCCAAACTCCAAACGTTCCGGACACCTTTGTTCCGGGCTCCCTGAATGCCCAAAGGGTCTTACCATCAGGAGACTCATGGCAAACAAAAGTAAACAAACAACAGAGTTTCAAAAACCTTGTCAAATCAATGTCGATGTTTCCATGTTCCATGTGTCCATTTCATTGTCAAATCATGTCAAATTAAGGATTTGATTTGGTGCAATAGTATTTCCATGTTGCATCGTTAGCTCAGCCCATGTGGCCTGGGCGCCAACTCGACCATCACTTCAAGCCAACTTTTCTTGGGTTGAAAATCTCTTGCTTGCAGTTCCCCAAGTGCGGTTCTTCCATGCGCGCCATGGATGTGCTTGTCCTTCTTTGGATTGACGCTCAGAGTTCCTCATCCTCCTCAAACCTCGGACCGGTCGTTGTTCGGCGAGGCGTGGCTGCCGAATGCGCCATCTGCTTGATGCTCATCCCTCCCGTCCTCGTGCGACACAGCGGCTGGGGCAAGCGCCTGGGCGCGAGTTCGCGGTCTGACCGGAGGAAAAGGTGGGGGGGAGCGGGGAGCTCTTGGATGGGTCTAAAATAAACTTAGGTGATTCTCAATCAGAGTTGAGGGATTCAATTGTTTTTGAAAAATACGTACCGTGTGAATCCTTTTGACTCAACTTGGAATCATTGAAGTATGGTATGGTTAAACTGAGCTGGGCGGGTTTGGCACAAGGGTCCAAGCCGGGCTATTTTGTTGCGAGATTTTAGGACCATTTTGGGCTGTGAACTACTGAACATGCATATTAACATTAAATATAATCATATTAACATTTATGTAAATGTCAGACGCGCACCCACGGGCAATTTGCCGAGTATGGGAAGCGCAGAGCACATTGTGTGGGTCCCTACCAGGTACCCCAAACCACTGGTAGGTCCCTGTGGACCGCATGCCTGTTGCTTCTCCGAGTGTGCCGTTCCGTGCCTTCTCGGGCTCAGAAAATGGTGGGCAGGGTCACACCGGACCTGCCCTTGGCATGTTCATAACCAACATGCTTCAAATCCGCTTCCTCTCAGGGGTGGTAGCTGCTGACCTCCCTTCAGAGGAGTTGTGCCCACTGGTCCAAAGCGACAAACCAGTGAGGGCACTGAAAGAGCATTTGGCAGCTCTCGTTGGAGCTTCCAGGTTTCGACAAAGACTCTTCCATGAGCACATGGAGCTGCAGGACCATTCTCCCTTAAGGGACATGTCCGAATTGCAGCTGGTGATCTTAGATTTTCAAGGTGCTGAAGATGAAACAACTCAAGCATTCATATCAGCATGTGGGGTCGGCCCACTGGCCAAAGTCGAATCCTTTCTTCAATTGCCACAGAACCCCAACGTGCTAGATCCAGAAGCCGACCAAGCACCAATCCATGTTGCAGCTGAAAACGGCCAGTTGGAAGTGGTGCGACTCCTACTGGAGGCAGGAGCTGATAAGGATCTTGCAGCTGAAGATGGTAACACAGCTTTGCAGGAGGCAAGTTGGAGAGGGCACTTGGCAGTGGTGCGAGAGTTGCTTGCTGCAGGAGCTGACAAGAATGTCGTTTGGCAAGATAGCTTAACAGCTTTGCACTGGGCAAGTGCGAGTGGCCATTCGGAAGTTGTGCGAGAGTTGGTGGAGGCAGGAGCTGACAAGAATGCCGTCGCACACAATGGCACA